AGGAGGGGGGAGGGGGGGGAAGGGGGGGAGAAGGAGGAGGATGAGGAGGAGGAGGAGGAGGGGAGGAGGATGATGGGAGGGAGAACAAGGAGGAAGAGGAGGGGGAGGAGGAGGAGGAAGAGGGGGGCATGATGCCCAGTGGTCTGCCGTGTGCCTCTCCAGATGCTGTGGTTCGTGAATGGCTAGACAACATCCCAGAAAAGCCAGTACTGGTGACGTACGAGGTGATAGGTGAAACCACAGAGGTGGCCAGCCGTGGTCTAGAACGTCCTGAGAAGGACCCTGGTGATGACTGTTCTCTGAAAGGCCTGGAGGAACTGGCTCAGGCCAGTCAGCAGCCCCCAGAAGGGGTCACTGATGAGTACCCCGAGCCAGCTGGAGTCCCCCCAGAGATTGGTAATGTGCACCCCAAATCAGGAGGTGGTTCCCATCATGATACAGCACCAGATGAAGGGTCCAAGGCCCCTGCAGAGGTTGGAGAAGGAACCACTGTGGGCCATGGTGTGAGCCTGGGTGTGCTCCCCAGCAGAGTGTCAGCCTCCACGCAGCTCATGAAGGTCCTGCTGGGCTCCAAGCAGGGCCGGCCAAGTAGTTTGCCAGAGGTCTCCAGCGCACTGGCCCAGAGGCTCAGCAGCTCTGCTGAGGCCCTCGTTGCCTGCCTTGCCAGGCTCCACTTCTTTGATGAAGATCTGGGGCCTCTGACTGACAAAGTGAGGCTGGACAAATCCCTTAAGTACCAGGAGCTCCTGAGCATCTCCCAGGACCTGTGGCCTGTGAGTGAGCTTGGGCAAGCCCAGCTGGATATGGGCCTGGGGAGGCTCACCTCACACCAGGTTCTGCAGGGGATGGAGAGCTTCGCGCCCACCTCTCCCTCTGGCATAGATGTCAGCAGTGGCTCTGGGGGCTCAGGCGAGGTCAGTGTACCTTGTGCCATGGATAGCAGCACACTGGTCTCCAAAAGAGTAGAGCTGCCCTTGGAGATCTCCTCCCGAAGACCTGATTCCAGGGTTCAGGGGCACCCAGAGGAGCCAAGTCATTCCGTAGTCTCATCCAGCTCCCAGGCGTGGGCTTGTGCCGCCAGCAGGAAGGAGTCAAAAAGAGGTGGCACGATGCCAACACAGGGTGATGCTCTGGAGGAATTAGTTGAAAACCCAGTGCAGGGAGAGGAGCCGCGATTAGAGGGAGAAGAGACAGAAAGAGAGCAGCCACGACGAGCAGAGGGTGTCCAGAGAGAAGGGCTTCCAGAAGGGGCTGGAGTCAGCAGACAGGGAGCATTAGGGGCTGAGTCCCAGAATGGGGAGGTCTCACCAGAAGATGGCAGAGTGCCAGAAGAGGAAGCAGGAAGAGATGCTGCCTCCACAGACCTGTGTCCCCCAGATCAGAGAGAGGAACCTGCAGATCCCTCTCACCATCTTGATGAGAGGAGCTCACATGTTAGCGAGAGTCAAAATGTCCCCAAATTGGATCCGGTTGGAAAAACTGCCCAGAATGGCTCTGATGGGCTCTAGTCAAGGAGCCAAGGTGACAAATGAGCCCACTGCCCACAGAGTGTCTCTGGATCCTGACCCAATCTGTGTGTCCAAGCTGCTGAAGAAGATAGAGAAGACCTTCATGGCTCACCTGGCTGGAGCCACAGCTGAGCTCCGAGCTTGCTCGAGCCTGCATGACAATGGCCTGCTGGACCAGATGGTGATGGAGTTGGAGCAGGATGTGGGTCAGAGGCTCTAAGCAAGCACTGACAGGGAGCTTCAGAAGATCCAGAGCAGGGCAGGGAGGAGGGCTCCAAGGCCACCCCGGGAAACCCTCAGAGGACGGGCATCCCTGCAGACGGAGCAGCGCAGGTGTTGGCTTCCGGGCCTGCGAAACTTCTCAGCCTTCCCTGGCCAGGGGCCCCTCTCTCTCACCCTGGAGGATGGGCCTAGCCTCAGCACAGCTATAGTGAACAGGCCAGGTTGGACCACTGGGGATGTGTTCTATCCCTGTGAGGCCTGTCAGAGGGAGATGACCCCCATATTCCCTAAGAACACCATGGCAGCCGTCAGTGCACCTGTCAGAAAGGCCTTCGACCTACAGCAAATTCTACAGAGCAAGAAAGCAAGATGTAGGGATGGAGAGGCAGCAGGGGTGGCCTCTGAGAAGATGGGGACGATGCTGCTGCAGGACGAGCTGTGCAAGGAGCTGATGAAGGGCAAGAGCTGAGGTTGGCCCCAGGACCTGGAGTGGATGAGGGAGAGAATGTGGAAGGGAGCCAGAGGCCCAGCAAAGAGGAAGATTCTGGGCTCTTGGAAGTAGAGGGAACTGGGTATTATGAGTCAGAAGAGGATGCAGCCACTGAGAGAGAAGGGAAAATCCACGTCAGTGCTGTGCAAGAAGCCCATCACGGGGAGGAGAACTTGACCAAGAAGGAAGGAACCCTGCACCAGGGCTCCAGGGATGGGGCCACTTTGGAAGCTGTAGGACAGGGTGATGGAGGCCACTCGGTGAAGAGTCAGGAAGCCCCAAGAGGAGGACAGACAGAGGCAGGAGGAGGAAATCAAGGTGAAAAAGAAAATGGCTCTTGGATTAGCTCAGGAGAGAGCCAGAAAGGGGGGCTTCTGAAAACAGCCTCGACCAAGAGGGGATGCCCCATGTCCACCACCAAAGGCCAGGCCCCCAAAGCTGCCATGCAGGTCACGCCTACAGATCTCCATCTCTAGGCAGCTACTCACAGATCTCTCTGAAGGGCTCAGAAGAAAACTGTCCAAGCACAGACCTCAAGGACACCAAAGCTGAGGACAGTGAGGTCTTACATGTGGAGAGGAAAGTAACCACAATGTACCCAGAAAGTTCTACTTCTGAGCAAGAAAGAGATTCCTCAGGCGCAAGGACCCCCGAGCAGGGAACCAGTGAAGGCTATGATGTGGGAGACAAATGTTTGGCCTGTATCCAGGTGGGCCACAGGGCAGATTGCTTTGGCCAGGATGATCTAGATTTCTAGACATCAAATGACAGGCCAGTCATGAATCTGAGGGATGGTCTCATTAATGTATTATCCATAAACCTGAGGGAAGCTCAGGCCACTGGGGACGAACAAGGAACACGGATGAAGATCAAGGACTTGTGAATCTGCCCTGGTGCCGCAGGCCTGTCATCCCATCCACTTGGAAGGCAGAGGCAGAGGATCAAAAGTTCAAACCCTACCTAGGCTGTAGAGTGAGTTCAAAAGTCAGTTTGGGTAACACTATTTCAAGTGCTAGGAATACCATTCAGTGGTAGAGCAGTTGTCTAGCATGTGTAAGGCTCTAAGTTCAAGCTCCAGTGCACCAACAGTAAGAAGGACTTGCCAAGGATAGACCACATATGCTGCCCCTGGGATCTGAACTATCAAGCTTCACTGAGACCTGGGCTCATCCCACAGGCAGTATAGCATAGCCGACCGTGTGGTGTTATCAGAAAAGCTGGCTTTTCTGGATAGAAGTAGCTGTAAATGCACCCGGGGAGTTTCTGTTTGTGTCGGCTTTTTGCAAGCAAGTTGCTGCATCCTTTTTCCTATTGATCTCCTGTTACTTCTCTCCTTGGCCTCTCTGGGCACACTCACCTCATTTGACTCTGAGGTGCTTTTGTGCCAAGGTCTGGAATAGATTTGGTATCTCTGCAGATGTGGATGCTTGGGAAAGGCAGATAAACTCAGGGTTATTGGATAAAGTTTGTTCTCAACTCAAAAGTCCAAGGTTCTCTTCGTCCCCTAGTTCATGCATTTTGTAATGGAAAAACGGAAGGCAAAAGATCCAGAAGAAGCACGAGTGATCTCCCACCATTCCATGACCGTTTGGGGAGCAATTGAATGCAATTCCTTCCATTGTTCTTTGTATAGCATTTATGTACTGCTTTCCTAAATGCTTAAATATGTAAGAATTTATTAATTTATTTTTAAAAAACCTTCATATACCTATATTTGTCTGGTTTGTTTGTTGTTTGTTTGGGACAGGGTCTCATTATGTAGCCCTGGCTGACCTGGAACTCACTATGTAGACGAGGCTGGTCTCAAACTCACAGAGATCCGCCTGCCTCTGCCTCCCTAGTGCCGAAAGGCATGGGCCACCACACTAGGCTGCCTGAAGAATTATCCCTGCTGATTACAGGAAATACCTCACCATTTCCTTATTGTTGACTGTGAACACTCAGGTTTCCTTTTTAAATGTGTGTGTATGGGGGATGTGCATACCAGTGCACGTCCCTACGAAGGCACATGCAGAGGCCAGAGGTTGGTAATAGGATGCTTTCCTCAATCACTTCTCCATATTATTTTTTTATTTATTCATTTTTATTTTCTGTGTATGAGTGTCTTGCCTGCATGTATATAAGTGCACCTGTGTCATACATGCCCATGGAGGCCAGAAGAGGGTGTTGGATCATCTGGAACTGTCAGTTTTTAACTGCCATGTGGGTGTTGGGAACCAAACCTTGGTCCTCTGCAAGAGCAACCAGTGCCCTAACCACTGAACAATCTCTCCAGCCCCATCCACATTATTTTTTAAGACAGTTCTCTCACTAAACCTGGAGCTCACTGTCTCAGCTAGAGTGGCTGACCAACAAAGTCCCCCAGGATCAGCCCGTCTCCATCTCCCTTGCACTGGGGTTACTGACATCACACACCCAGCTTTTTATGAAGGTTCTGGGGATCCAAATTCAGGTCAACATGCTTGCACAGCAAGCACTTTACACATTGTGCCATTCTCCCCAACCCATTTTTATTGCTGAAAATGGTCTTACCGTGTAGCCTGGGCAGCTTGGAACTTGCTTTGTAGCCTAGACTGGCCTGAAACTTGAGATTCTATTGCCTCAGCCTCCCCAGCACGGGGATTACAGGTATGTGCCACCACAAACACTGCAGTTTCCATTATCTTGTTCTTAAAATTTTGCTTCCAGATTGGGTACAGTAGTGCACACTTGTGATCCCAGCACTTAGGGGGTTGAGGCAGGAAGACTGCCACAAATTCAAGGCCTGTCTGGTCTTCATAGTGAGTTTAAGCCCAGCCTGGGACACACAGAAAAACCCCAGCTCAAAAAACCCAACCAACCAACCAAGCAAACTCATTTTGGCTTATTGGGAAAAGGTTCCTGACGCCAAGCTGCAAGACTTGAGTTTGATCTCTGGGACCCATGTGGTGGAAGGAGAGAAGTGATTTCATTAAGTTATCCTCTGACCCCTACACGGGGCCATGGCACACACTCATGCTCTCACACATACACATAATAAATAAATAAGTGTAATGCGCATTTTTTTTAAAAAGTGGATGTTGGAAAGGTGTAAGACCTGGGGTTTAAGGACCCAGGCTCGAGTTGAGGGATCACATGTCAGTTTCAACACCTGGGAAGTAGGCTGGCCAATGTTGCCTCCATGCACTGCTGTGGAAACATATGAGCAGATCTAAGAGACACCATCACATGTACATTGGGAGTTCTCAACACGTTAGCTGTGGCTATAGCGTGTTCAGTGCCTATGATGCACTGGGTAGGATACTGGACCTTTCACAGAAGTGAGCCTGTTTAATTTTCCCAGCACATCTGTCAGGTAGACAAATAGGTATCCTCGTGTCCATTTCACAAATGAAGCAACTGAGGCGTACAGAAGATAAGAAACTTGCCTAGATAGCTGCCAAACCAGGATCGCAACAGAGATATCTCATGCTCAAAGTCCACGTCATTTCCATTGTGTCTTTTTTATTTTCTTTCCTTTCAATCCAGTTTGTGTGAATAAGTAACTTAACTAAAGGCGGTGAACACTTTGTTTAAAGTAAAGTCAGTGGGATTCTTTTGGCTGAACTGATTGCATTCCCCACCCAGTAATGTTCTACTTGAGGGCAAGTATCAGGAGTTGCCAATCCCTGGTTCCACGAAGCCCAGGATCAAGCTGAACACTTATCTTTCCATAAGATTCTCTGAGTTACACACTCACCTGCTTTAAACCCACAAAGATTTCTGCCTTTTATACTTAAAAAATCTGTTGTTAATGGACAACCTGAACATTTTTTCTCACTCGGATAAGGAGTTTGGTGGCCTTGGCTAAGACAGGGACCTTAGTATCTCCTCCCCATCCCTCTCACTATGGCAACCACACTGCACTGGCCTCTACTGCAAAGCATCTCTTGGGAAGGCAGAATTCCTATAGCCTCAGCTGACTCCCAAATTAAAACTTGGGTATCTGTCACCCAAATGCTCCCCAAGTGCTTACAATGTCCATGGCAACCCCAAACTTTTCCAGCCTTGAACAGTGGGGGAGGGGATCAAGTCTTCTACCCTACCCTTATTGTCCAGTTGTTGGAGATCAGAGATTCTAGCCCACAAGGACCACCTTCCAGTAGCTGGCAGCCAAATCCCCATGTCTAACCCACACCTAGGGACTGGCTTTATTTGGTCTGGTTAGGACTCCTTTATAATGCCAGCTTTGTGGAGCCCAACTTTCCATCAAATTGACCAGTCCAGTATCCATCTGATAAGTCTTCCCTGGAGAAGTGGCCACAGTGCTCTATAAGCAGCTGGGACCAGGCCCCAGGCCTTCTCCATGTTTTAATATCTCTCATTCAGAAGCAAGAGAAACCTTCAAAGAATAAAGTCAATGACAGATCGGCTCCCTGGACACGCAGACCATGCACCCCTCCCCTGCAGGCTATGCCTTCCTCTTCACCAAATACTGACCCCCAAATCCTCCCATAAACAGGCTTCATTGCCACCAGTGCTCACTCATGCGACCAGGGGCAACACTCTTACACGCACACATGGGCACACAGTCATCTACTCATACACATGCACACACATGGATGCTTTCACATGCACACATACACGCTCACACACATATACAAGGTCATCCAGTCACACACATGCACAAACACATTCACACATATACAGAGGTCGGCTTCCTTGCTCTCCCTCATTACATGATCTGCACAAGGGACAGTGTGGGTCAGCCAGAGTCAGTTTCTCGCTCCACTTTGTCTCCTGGGAGGCAATTAGGTGGGTAAAGATTACTCTCCAGCCCTGACCCTGTCCCAACCCCCGTGTCCAGAGCCCAGCTGGCAGCTCAAATGACTGGGGCCTCTGTAAAGACCAGTTGAGACAGGACACAGAGATCTGGGCTTCTAGGTCCCTGAGCTCATTCTTAGGCACCAATCAAACCACCTCAAGCACAGTGATCCAACCTCGTTGTCCGACTTCCACCAGGCCTAACTTCTTGGTGTAGCAGCCTGGTCTGTCCATGGTTGTCCTACTCCAGGCCTGGTGGTGTGTCCTCATGGACACATCACTGTTGCTCAAGAAATCTCTTGAAACAGATTTGCAGACTCAACTTGGTCCTCACCAGTACCACACATCGCTCTGAGAGAAACATCTAGTCATGCTGCTGTAACCTGGAACCCGCCAAGACCAGTTAAGCCCCCAGAGTCAAGGCCAAGTGCTGAAAGCTTTAGTGAGATGGAACTGTGGGCTTGTTCAGGCTGGCTCCATTCCCCTTCCCTGTCCTCCCTCGGTACCTCTTCTTCCCCCTCCCTCCTTCTCTCTATACTGCTGTATCAGTGGGATGTAGGCTCAGTTCCCAAACTGAAGTTGCCCGTGGGGGAGCAGATGTGTGGGCCACAGGCTGCACTCTGGGAGCAGAACCCCTCCCTACCCAGAGCCCACCTTCTCACCTTTGCCTGGGCTCAGTGCTCACTTCTCTAAAGAGTACTTTGTCTCATCTTGGGCCAGCACCTCAGATACATGCTAGCTTAGTCTTCAGGACTGTGACTTGGGCACAGAAGCCCCAGGCTCGCTCTGTCTGGGCAACAGGCCTGTGCTCTGCAGCATTCTTGGCTTGTGCTACATCTGGCTGCTGCAGTCTCAGGAAGGCTTTGGCCTTGGGCCCTGTGCAGGGAGAAGCACTTAGGCCTCTCTCTGAGCCCAGCACCCAAGCTCTCTTTACCAATCTGGGATATGAGACCTTTGCTCTGTGGGACACATGAT